AATCACGAAACGTTTGCAACCAGCATGCTAGATTAGCGTGAACTAAAATTCGTCAACTTTTCGTCTTTTAAACTGTCAAAATGCACTTTTTCTGTTAAAAAATGTAACGAATCAACTCTCTGAGCTGCACGGAGTCGGCGCTCCGTGGCACAACGTCTTTTAAACCGTTTAAAACAACTCGTTCGAACTTTTTCCAGAACCGAGCCGGACCACAACCGGACCTCCGTCCGTTTGGACCACAGTTTAAACAGAATAACGTTTTCCACAGCTCATAAGCTGAGCTACACATAACAGACGTACAATTTCAGCTTTCACAAGACATATGACACTATTTCAGCTTTTAACATCACTAGCCCAACGCTTAAAACATGCAGCGTTTTGACTTCAAAGCGGCACAGCTTCTTCAGCGCGCTGCGTTCAATCACAGCTGACAACTGTTATTTTTCTTTATGCCAACATGTAAAAAATCAATCTTTACACGAATTTACAGTCATTTATGAGCACGTTACGGGCCACCAAATGTAGTATGTCATATGCTGGATATATTCATACTTTTTCACGAGTTCCTCATCTTTCTGACTGTGTAAATGTCGTGCATTGAATTCAACAGAAATGTAACGAGAGACGTTATTATCTTTGACCCATCAAAATGAATGCGGTCATTTATTTTCAGAATCAAAGTTTAACATCAAGCATTTACATTAATTTGGCAAAATATGAAAATAATAACAGACAAGTTTCACAGATAATGGACTTCAATCACACGGCGGTGATTGAGGACTTTGCTTCAGATATCTCTAAGATATCTGTCAAATGAATTTAGGAGAAAGGAGAGTTTAAGATGAAAGATGGAGATTTATCTTACAGAGAGATTTGTGAGGGAATTAATCTGTTTGACCAGAAACGTGCACGCTCCTTCAGATCTCAGCTTGCGACGGTACGCTTGGTCGAAGTGGACTGTTACCTGGTTGATGATAGGTCAGCGTCGGTATAGGATCCTCCTTTGACTCTTTCAGCGTCTCCGTTGAGAGCAGCTGAAATCCTTCGAGAGTCGTGCGAGGTTATTCAAACAGAAGTTATAATCCCAAAACGTCTCTGGATCATCCTGAATGCGTTTGCATCCAAGAACTCTGAACTCCTTTCATCTCCTTAGCACTCTCTATCAGACTTCCGACATCAGACTCTTAGAGAACCGGGAAGTTGCCACATTTTAAATGAGTTGACTTCCGGGTCAATTTAGAGCTTTCTGATTCGTGGATGGACCAGAATAGAGGTGTGTTTTGTGACGTAAGATGTTATCAAAAGTCAAGGGCAGAGAATGAGATTGCTTAACAGACAGAAAAGATTATTGGAAAAAACCAGACTTCGTGGAGTCTCACTCTTATTATCTTCTGAAAAAGTTTAAACATGACATTTCTTCTCAGTAAACATTTTAGTTGACCGAGACTCGACCTTTAACATACTTACAAAACTTGCTCATTGCAGACAGAAAAATCAAGAAATGCATATTAACCTGATTTCTTCTTTGAATGAGGAATAAAAATCATTACTTACTGTTTATGTAAAATAAAAATGAGTAGTTCTCTTCAACCTGTAAGCATTGAGTGAACTAACACAATTTGATTATCAAACATTTGTAAAACAGTAATGATCATAGAGAATTGTCTTTTCTACTTGATTAATTCAAGAAAGAAAGTCCCCAGATGGCTCAAACTGTATTTCTGGATGCAGATCAGTGAAATAACAGTCTCTGTCATCTGATCAGATTTGAGGTCAGACCAGGTTCACTACACTTTGAAGACCCGAACAGACCACCCAGCACCAGGCTCACCTCACCACGGGATGAAGAGCATCTCAGTGTGACCTCAGCTGAAGTAAGGAGTACTTTCAGGAGGATTAATCCGCACAAGACAACCGGCCCAGACAACATCCCTGGAAAAGTGTTGAAGGAATGTGCCGATCAGCTCTGCGAGGTGCTGGCAGACATCTTTAACACCTCACTTACCCTGGAGACAGTTCCCACCTGCCTGAAGACTGCCACCATCATCCCAGTCCCAAAAAGCTCTACAGTGACTGGTCTGAATGACTATCGGCCAGTGGCCCTCACCCCGATAGTTGCTAAATGCTTCGAAAAACTGGTCATGACTCGCATCAAAACAACCATCAACATCAATGAGGACCCTCATCAGTATGCATACCGCAAGAACCGATCAACAGAGGATGCCATCTCCTCTGTGGTCCACACTGCTCTCAACCACCTGGAGCAGAAAGACTCTTACGTCCATATGCTCTTTGTGGACTTCACATCCACCTTCAACACCAATGATCCCCCAAACCCTGATGGACAAACTATTCACACTAGGACTAAGCCCCTCCATTTGCAACTGGGTACTAGACTTCTTAACAAACAGACCAGAGTTAGTGAGGATCCACAACTTCTCCTCCTCCACCATAACCCTCAGCACTGGCTCTCCTCAAGGATGTGTGTTGAGCCCCCTCCTGTTTACTCTGCTCACGTATGATTGCGCAGTTACCCAACCAGGCTGTCACATTGTAAAGTTTGCAGATGATACAGCGGTGGTGGGATGCATCACAAACAATGATGAGTCCAGCTACAGGCAAGAGGTGGAACACCTGGAGAGCTGGTGCAAAGAGAATAACCTTCACATCAATGTGAAGAAGACAAAGGAGATGATTGTGGACTTCAGAAGGAACAAAAACACCTACACCCCCCTGAACATAAGAGGATCTGCAGTGGAAGTGGTCTCCAGCTACAAGTACTTGGGTGTACATGAATGACAACCTCAGCTGGAGCAACAACACCACCAGCAAGCTCATCAGAGACTACTTCCTCAGGCGGCTGAGACGAGCTGGTCTGGGAAGCTCAGTCCTCACCTCCTTCTATAGATGTGCAGTGGAGAGTATCCTGTGCTCCAGCATCAACGTGTGGCATGGAGGCTGCACAGCTGCAGAAAGAAAAGCTTTGCAGAGAGTGATGAAGGCTGCACAGAAGACTGTTGGAGTCAGCCTCCCCACCATCACAGACATCTACACCTCTAGATGCAGGAAGAGGGCCCCCAGCATCATGAAGGACCCCACTCACCCAGCACACACACTTTTTGCCCCACTCCCCTCAGAAAGGAGGTTGAGGAGCATTAAGTGTAGAACCACTAGACTGAGGAACATCTTCTACCCTGAGGCTGTTAGACTCATGAATCTCTAACCAGAATAATCACTGTGGAAAAAAATCACATCATGTTGCTGCTGATCTGTTTCAATGTTGCTGCTGATCTGTTTCAAGGTTGATGTGTTCATGCATGCTCATCTGCTCACACAGACTCATGTTCGTGCTGCTGTTCGACATAATGTTTTTATGCTATTAGTGCTTAGTGCATTTTCAGTTGGTGTTTTTCTTAGTTCATATCTTAGATGTTATCATTGTTTTTCTTTTACATTTTATTGTTGGATGTAACTGGGACCCTGTGTACATAATTTCGCTCCACCACATGTACCACATGAGGTGCGAATGACAATAAAGAAACTCTGACTGACAATGACAATAAAGTTGATTCTGATTCTAAAATATGTAAAGGTCATCAGTCTCAGCATATGCCTTGTAGAGTGCCTTTGATGGAGGTTGATAGAATCACCTTGTGGGCTTGTTTTAGGCCAGGTTGTCATTTTGTACAATTCCCACTGTGTGAGGTGTACAGATGTAACAGTGGCCCTCCATGAAGACATATACAAGTTATGACGGTTGTACTCGCCTAGCATAGACCAGATTTAAGGGAGAATTATACCATTTTATTATTATGCTATGCTATTATGCTATTATAAACCAAGCATTTTAGGACATCAGGTTTTATAGCACCATGTCATTCAATTCAATTTAAAATTCAATTCAAAGAGACTTTATTAATCCCAAAGGGAAATTAAATGTTGTTGTAGCTCGTTATCCTCGTTTATTTAAGAGATGTTATAGATGCTGATGACTATAGGCAGGAAGTATCTCTTGTAAAGGTCTGCAGCAGAGCCGAAGAAACTGACATCAGATGCCGTCCACCCAGACTAGGCTGGCCTCTCCATTCTTCCTGGCAGCAGGACCGCCTGAATGCTGGGCTGGACTCCTCCCAGAGCCATCTCAAGAACCTGAGCGGGGGCCACTCCTTCCAGCAGCCTGCTGAGCTCCTCATCGCTGCGAACAGCAAGCCGGCTGCAGGTGCCGGGGGACGTTCCTGTCCTTCTGTTGTCACAAGCTGCGTTTCCTGCCATCTCCAGGATCTCAGTGGTCAGACACTCGAGCACAGCCGGCAAGGAGACGGGAATGCATCTACAGCACCTCCTTTTCAACTCATTTGAGAATTGGGGCTGTAGATGAGATATTAAGATTTTTGAGGTGTTGATCAGCTGCTCCCGGTTGTAAAAAAAACAAACAAAAAAAAAAACACCTTGGTGCCATGGTTACTCATCATAACAAATGTCCAAAATATAAAAAGTTTCCATAAAAATCCTTCCAATACCAGAGGGAACAATCATCACAAAAAATGTGATTTACATCCAGAAAAAGAGGAATTGAAGTTTCCAAAAACAAAATCTCAGAATTAAAGTGACAGAGCTACTCCAACATGCAGCCATCCCGAGCAGTGCAGTTCTAGAACATAATTTGCCATCCTGCCTTGGCTACCATTGACATCAGAAACGGCTGAGTTTGGAGTACTGCCACAACAGAGGCATGGACATGAGTGCCGCCATACTTATCATTGACATACAGTGACAAAACCTTTTAACGTGTGCAGTTTAACTTCATTGTCACCACTTTCTTTGGGTCCTTAGTATTATTATTTTGTTAGAGTGTAAATTTTATCTTTCAGTGACAGCCTTAGCCTTGATCCTCATATTTTTTTAAATATCACTGAGTACTATAATTGCAAATGAGGTCACAATCAGCTAAATCTCTGCCTTTTTAGCTAAACTGTGCTGCTCTTGCTTCACAGCCAAGGTGGGAAAGACGTCTCTCATCATGTCCCTGGTCAGCGAGGAGTTCCCAGATGTGGTACGAACCTCCCCTCATTCTGTTAGTGGGATCTTTACTCCATGAAAGACCACATCTTTGCAGCTTTGTAAAAGCAACATGTTTATGTGCCTGTGTTTACAGGTTCCGTATCGAGTTGAGGAGATCACGATACCTGCAGATGTCACACCAGAAAGAGTTCCCACACATATTGTGGATTATTCAGGTATCTAAACAAACAAATCCATTGTTTGCTCTTCTCCCTGTTTACTTTGAACATACTTCTATTTTTTTTTTGTAGAAGCAGAGCAGACAGATGATCAGTTGTTTCAGGAAATTTCAAAGGTAGGTAGGTGAACTAAGCTTGGGGTTAAGAGTTAGACTTCAGCTGAAAGCCTAACAGCGTCTGCTGGTCTCTCACTCAGGCAAATGTCATTTGCATCGTCTACGCCGTCAACAACAAGACCTCCATAGAGAAAGTGAGTCACTTCTGCTGCCAACGTTTTCACAACATCATTATAAATTTTAAAAAGAGGACGAAATGAGAACGTGTCCCATTTTACAGGTGACTGATCACTGGATCCCTCTGATCACCGATAACACAGACAAGGACAGCAGGTCTGAAAACTCTGAGTCTCATCTGTGTCTGCTTGGCTTGGCACCAACTACAGGATAACCTGTAGTTACATAATGTTTGTGTGTGTGTGTGTGTTTGTATTTGTTACCTTGTAAGGCCCATTTTTCCAACACATACTACACTGTGAAGACCAACTACTTCTTATGGGGTCCAAAGCCTGGGCACCATAATAAGCAGTGTCACTGGTGGGTTAGGGGTTAGGTTTAGGGTTAGGTATGTACTGGTAATTGTTAGATTTATTCAACCTTTATTTAGACAGATTAATCCCATTGAGCCTCAAGGACTCATTTACAAGAGAGACCTGATTTTAACAAAGAGTGATGACAACAGTGGACAATCATAAAAGAGGCATACAGATTTTTTTTTTTTCAAATTAAAATAAGATGGCAAAAAAAAGTAGCAAAAACAGCTAGATTATAAGGCGGTGTAGAAAACGAAAAACAGGAACATGTCTGCATTGGTTCTTGCCAGAAGCTTAACAGATGTTTGAAGCCAATTACAGAGGTCGAGGTCGAGAGCTTCAGATCTTTTTGCAAGATTCTCCAGGAAACAGGAGCGGATTAGGAGAAGGCCCTTTTGCCAAGTTCAGTCCTCACTGAGGGAACACTGCAGGTAATAATGTTCTGAGAGTGCACGCTGTAGCTGCACTCACGCAGAGAAATGTAGGAGGAGAAGTATGAAGGCAGCAGACCAAGAAGTGATTTAAAGATTAAAATTGGGTAACGGTAACTGGTAACGGTTAGGTTTAGCTATGTACTGGTAACGGTTAGGTTTAGCTATGTACTGGTAACGGTTAGGTTTAGCTATGTACTGGTAATAGTTATGTTTAGGTATGTACTGGTAACGGTTAGGTTTAAGTATGTACTGGTAATGGTTAGGGTTAGGGTTAGCTATGTACTGGTAAAGGTTAGGTTTAGGTATGTACTGGTAACGGTTAGGTTTAGGTATGTACTGGTAACAGTTAGGTTTAGGTATGTACTGGTAATGGTTAGGTTTAGGGTAAGTGTCAGGTTTAGGCTGTAGGTATGAATAAAAAATGAGTGGAAGTCAATACAAAGTCCCTGTAAAGATAAAAAGACAAACCTGTGTGTGTGTATGTTGTACTTCATCAACAAAAAGTAAATGTGTAGAAGTGTAACATTAAAGTGGAACTTTAATGGATTCTGCATTTGTGAAATGGGCCACTGATTTTTCTTTTTTTAGAGACAAAATCTAAAAATATGTACAAAGAGAAGCGCTCTTGGAAATGATGGTTGTGGGTTTTTTTTTTTATTGTCTCTTATTTTAAATGTGCCCCAGCCAGATGAGACGGACAGCTGCCTTGTCTGAGCCTGGTTCTGCTGGAGCTTTCTTCCTGTTAAAGGGGAGTTTTGAGTGTTTGACCACAATGGCTCATACTCTAGTATTTCTCAGCTTAAGATGAGCTTAGTTTAGAACTTCATTAGGGCCTTTTGTGTTAAATGTGTATTTGTGTGGTGTTTGTGTGTCCAGGGTTCCTCTGATCCTGGTGGGGAACAAGTCTGACCTGGTGGAACACAGCAGCATGGAGACCATTCTGCCCGTTATGAACCAGTACAGTGAGATAGAGACTTGTGTTGAGGTGAGGAACATGAAACTTTGTGTACTGTTGTTTCTGTACACAAACAAAATCAAATAAAGACTCTGGGATCTTTCTTTAGACTTAATTCCTGAACCATATGAGCGATTCAGTAATGATCATAGTGTGGAAACACAAGAGCCATAAAGAAGCTAATCTATGCTTTTTGTGTTAGTCACGTTCTCGTGGCTTTTAAAGATGGAACAGCTGAATTCTCAATGAACAAATAATGCAAAAATAGAAGAGTATAAATCAAAGTCCTCCATGTTGTGTTTGAACTTTGAACAAGAAAAACAAGAAAACTAAGACACTCTCCATCCTAAGAATATATTGTTGGTTTTATTGATTTTTTTTTTTAAAGTGTTGCCTTGTTTGTACACATCAGCTGATTGAAATATTTTTCATTTCCTCTTGTCTGAAAGTATTTACTGTTTTTCCTTTTGTGTCTTGTGTATAATGTTGTAACATCCCAGAGAGGCTTGGTGAGCCACACAGGCTGCAGAGTCGTCTTGGAACAAAAAGGGGTGTGCTTTTCCTAGTTGTGTGTTCAGATGGGATGTTCTCAACAGTTGTTCTGTTTAGTTTCGATCCAACATTTATGTTCTCAACTTTGTTATCGTTAATAGTAAAACTGACACCAAAAGTTGAATTAGACAGCATCACAAGCTCTTGATGGAGTTTGCCAGAGGTCAAATGGTGAGTTTGCACGAGGTTGGAGAGTTAAACCATGCTACTGTCTGACACGTGGGATGTGCTGTTGTCATAGTGGCTTGATGTTGGAACCCGTGGGTAAATAAGGGAACCCACTCTGGTTGTAAAAGTTCTGGCCACCCAAGACAGACCACACCACACACAGCTGCAGAAAGAAAAGCTTTGCAGAAAGTGGTGAAGGTTGCACAAAGCCTCTCCACCATCACAGATATTTACACCTCTAGATGCAGGAAGAGGGCCACCTGCATCATGAAGGACCCCACTCACCCAGCACACACACTTTTTGTCCTGCTTCCCTCAGGAAGGAGGTTGAGGAGCATTAAGTGTAGAACCACTAGACTGAGGAACATCTTCTACCCTGAGGCTGTTATACTCATGAATCTCTAACCAGAATAATCACTGTGAAAAATCACATCATGCTGCTGATTTATTTCATGCTGCTGTGTTCATTCATACTCATCTGCTCACACAGACTTATGTTCGTGCTGTTGGTCGGTGTATTGATTTTATACTATTAGTGCTTAGTGTATTTTTAGTTTACAGAAGTTTACAGAAAACCAACCCACACAGACCAGTATCTTCTGTTTGACTCCCACCATCCACTGGAACACAAACTGTCTGTCATCAGAACTTTACAACATCAGGCCGAACGCGTCCCCACGAAGACAGAAGGGAAGGAAAAGGAACAGAAACACATTCAAGAAGCTCTCCAAACATGTGGATACCCTAACTGGGCTTTTGTCAAGTCAGCGAGGAAATCTACAAAACACACTAATAAACAGAAAAAGGACAACAGCAGACGTAAAAACATTGTCATCCCTTATGTTGCTGGAGTATCAGAGAAATTCAGAAGGATTTTTAACAAACACAAGATCCCAGTACATTTCAAACCCAACAGGACTCTCAGACAGAGGTTGGTCCATCCTAAGGACAATACACAAACAGAGTGGTGTAGTGTATGCGGTCCAGTGCAGCGAGGACTGTCCAGACCTCTACATTGGAGAAACTAAACAGCCTCTTCACAGATGCATGGCTCAACACAGGAGAGCCAGCTCCTCTGGACAAAATTCCGCAGTTCACCCCCACTTCGCAGATAAGGGACACTCTTTTGAGGACCAAAATGTGCACATTTTGGACCGAGAACACAGATGGTTTGAGAGGGGGGTGAAGGAAGCAATTTATGTAAAAAGAGAAAAGCTGTCTCTTAACAGAGGAGGAGGCCTCAGATTTCCACTTTCAAAAACATATAATATAACTTTAAAACAGATTCCCAGCCGGTTTTCACACTTGATGGGAACAGAGGGGCCTCGTTTGTGAATTAGATGAACAAAGACCTACTGCGAAGGTGTTTAGGTGTGAACTACCAATCTACATATGTGTGTGTGTCGTGTGTGTGTCTTATCTCACTCAGTCTTATAACCTGAATCCCTTACTCATTGCTCTTTGAATTGAGAAAGCTCCTCGGATGAGGAGCGAAACATCTTCTGTTACAAATAAAGTCCAGTTGTTTTTTTGTATTGAACGTTTTTTGAATAGTTCATATCTTAGATCTTATTATGGATTTTCTTTTACATTTTATATTTTTGTTGGGTGTAACTGGGACCCTATGTAAATTTCGTTCCACCACATGTACCACATGTGATGCGAATGACAAATAAAGAAACTCTTGACTCTGACCAATAGGGTATTGCCATATTGTGTGCCGCACTTTACAGAATCCCAGGACTCATGCACGTCATTTGGGCACAGGTATTGGATTTTTTTTACAACTCTGTGTCGTCCCACATTGTGTCTCTATGACTGGACTACAGGTTTACTTTCCCGTGTGTCGGCAGCCATTAACACCAAAGCAGAGATGGCTGCGTTTAGAGTGGTGACCTAACTTAGGTCATCATTATGACAAATAACATCACCCATCCCTTGTACTTACTCACACTTCCATGCAGGGTCACGGGGAGCTGCTCCTTATCTCCAGGGGTCAATTGGATGAGTATGGAAGAATTATCGTGCCGTTAACAGGGAGCGCACATTTTGTGTTTGAAAGCAGGAATTCATCTCTTTCTGCTTTCAAACACAAAATGGGCGCTCTTCGTTAACAGTATGATAATTCTGCCATAGATGATAGGATTAGTACACCCTGGACTGGTTACCAGTCCTCGCAGCCACATAGAGACATGTGAGACAGATGATCGTTCATGTACTCACTCACACACCTAGTCACAGTTTAGAGTAACTAATAATCTAGTATGCATGTTTTTGGCTTGTGAGAGGAAACCAGAGTTCTGGTTGTTTAGGTTCACAACCATGCATGGAAAACTAGTTACTAACCATTGCTCTGACATGCCACCATAACACTGGTATCTTTTGTACATCGTACCATGTTCATTGATAAATCTCAGTTCTGCATCACTTTCTGGTGGCACTAAGGAGAAAACCAATTCTGCCAATGTTGAGGAGAGACACGTCGGTGTTACTGCCAGCATCATGGCTGAGGTTATGTTAAAGTCTCATGGCCAGCCAACCCCCAGGCTAAATGTTTGTTTTTTAATACCTAGCCATTACATTAAAAATCAAAATCTGTTTTGGTTGTTGAATAATGTGAAAATAGTTACAATCAATTAATAAAGAAAGAAAAATAAAGTCACCAAAATAATAATGATACTTAAACTGGCCTTGGGACAAAGGATGTTTCCTTTAACTTCACATTTTCTTGTTCAACTTTTAAAGCAGTCACTGCAGATGAGTGATTGTCAGTTTCTGTAAGATTTCTGCAACTGGAGCAGGTATTTCTGTTTACTGGTTAATTCCTCAGCTGTCTCACATTTTAAGGATAAACCCTACTCCATGTTTCAGCTCCTTTCATAGATCAGATCTCATAGAAGAGCACTTCTAAAGAGCAAATTTTGTTTTTAGCTTTTGTTTTTGGTCATTATCTCGTTACAGGATTCATGATCTTTAATTGAGACCAGACTTTTTGACAAATGGGAGCAGGTTTTGCTTCAGATGTTTCATATTTCTTTGTACCCAGACCACGCTCAAGCCAACCTGTGTCAGGTGCAGCCTACAACCCAAGGACTAAAGAGAATCTTCTTGTGTCTGACAGCAGATATAACGCTGTTTCTTAGAAACCTTCATTTTAAAAAAGTGCTGACGTAACTTATCTAAACAGCAGCAAATACAGCTAGCCAATCAGTGTTTGCCCTCTACGAACACCTATTCTCCAGAAACACCCACTTTTGGTCTGCAGAGAACTCCTTTCACATGGTTGCATTTCCTTTGCTTTTATGTTGCATTTTGTATGAAATATGTTACAGAACTGCATGCAAATGTGTGTGTGAATGATAAATGTGAAATGCTTTTTTTATTTGTTTACAGTGTTCAGCAAAGAATCTAAAGAACATTTCTGAGCTGTTCTACTATGCCCAGAAGGCAGTCCTGCACCCCACAGGACCTCTCTACTGTCCAGAGAAAAAAGATGTAAGAATGAAAAGACTCATTTTTTGTGACCTACTGGTGTCCAGCTTTTTTGCATCAAGACCAGTAAACACATACATTTCAGATGCAACAAACCCAAATACCACTTTTAGTTCAAAATAAATTCAACGAACGCTGTAATTTATACTTTTTTTTTCATTTATAGATGAAGCTTCTTTGCGTAAAAGCTCTGAGTCGAATCTTCAAAGTATCGGACCTGGACAATGATGGCATCCTCAGTGATAACGAGCTCAACTTTTTCCAGGTAAAACAGCTTTTAGTTATTGGCGAACTCTGAAACTTTCTGTTTTTAGTTCCAAATCTGTTTATTTATTTCAACAACAGTAATGTTCTGTGACAGCGAACATGCTTCAACAGCCCCCTGCAGCCTCACGCATTAGAGGATGTGAAAAATGTGGTGAGGAAGAATTTAGTCGAAGGCGTGTGCAACAACGGACTCACCCTGAAAGGCAGGAGCAGCTTCACTGACCGTCTGTTTCAGTTTCTTGTTAGAAACATCCTTTGGTTTATATCCGATGGGGTCTTGTTTCTCTGTGATGCCCTTCAGGCTTCCTGTTCCTTCACACGCTGTTCATCCAGCGAGGTCGCCATGAAACAACCTGGACGGTGCTGAGAAGGTTCGGATACGATGACGACCTGGAGTTAAATCAGGACTATCTCTTCCCTTCGTGAGTCTCGCTCAGACATTCAAGTCAACCATGATCTAGAGTTCTAACCATGTTTTGATTTAGCTGCATTACAAATCTATATATAGCATGTAATAGGGAGCTGTAGAAGCTCAGTGGTCAGTGCCACCATCTTGTAATGCTGAGGCTGCAAGTTTGAGTCTAGGCTATGCTACAATGAGCATCATCTTCATGCAAGTTTCATGATGTGGTGACCCCTGCTGAAGGGAGCAGCTGGAAGACGAGCAACAACAAATGAATATGTAGTAAGAGCTACCACCAGGCAAAGAGTTGTTGAATGACAAAGCTTTATATTTATTGTATAATGTAATGATTGTTCCATCTTTAATCTATTGTATTGAAGTTTGGGGAAAAGCATGCAAAACAATTACAAATCTCTATTTTAAAAAAAGAGCTATAAGAATTAGTAGTAGGAAGTGCTATGGTCACCCAACCAGTGTTGTTTTCGTTAACGATGACGAAAACTTTTCGTCGACGCCCCCTTTTTTCATGACAATAATGAGACGGTAACGAAATAAACATTGCTCTTTAATGACTAAAACATGACGAAATGTGTGTGAGTTTTCGTTGACGAGATGAGACTGTACGAAAATGTTTGTCGGTGGTCCGTCAATAATTTAGAATGCACAATATTTCTGCCCATTGGTCACACCCACTGCTACCCAACCGCGCTGATGCACCGCGCGCTCACCTTTGACTTCATTTCAAACTGGACCATGGCAGATGCTGCACGTTTTACGAAGGGGCTCGGTGGACGCAAACCCAGAAAGGATTTATGGACTTATTTTGTATTTAACCCAACTGAAAGAAGAACCGAATGTATCGTCGAGGGAGACGGAGGTAAATGTGGATTTAAACTTGGTGGAAAAAACACGACAAATCTTAAGCGGCACCTGAAGGCTCACCACCCTGATATTTTTTCCAAGGTAAGTTAGTTACAACTACTATTTTTGTAATGTACATACATGCAATGTTACTTGACAAACCAAACGGGTTGTGACACATTTCACAACTCCAGTTTCGTGTAAACTTAATGTTTTTTTAATTTTATTTTTATAAATCCTGTCCTTGCTTGCGCACGTGGATGCTAACTTCGTGCTATTAGCTTGTTTGTTGTGCTAATCTAACGTCGGCTACTGTTACGTGTAAAACATGCAGGGATGTATGGCTGATAGGTTGTGTTTGAGTGACTGAATATCAAACCTGTTGCTGTTACCCCATGTGTCTGTCGGGTCTGCATCCTTTAAACCAAAAACCCATTTTAGCTAAACACTACTTGCATTACATTTTAAAATGAGACAACCAACATTTGTCTGATAAATGTTTACAGTAAAAAGTGTTAGGGGGCCAAAAATACTTCATTTTAAATAAATAAATTGAATCAAAACATTTGCAAAAGAGAAAAGATACATTTTCTTAGATTGAGTGTTTATTGGTAGAAGAAAAATGGACAAAGTAATGTAAAAAATACCCCCCCAAAAAAGCTGTTTTCAATCTAATGAAAAGAAAAATAGTATTAAAAATACTGGTTATGTTAGTGTCATTCTGGATTGAAAATCTAATGCCAATTAGCAAAAAATAGGTAAAGCTGACATTTATCTGTATTCAAATTTCAAAAGCATCTGCCTGTGTTAAATGTTTGGTACTTCAGACTAAAAGCTACAAGGGCACCTCAGTGTTGTTTTTCTGCTCTGAACCCTGAGCAGAAAAACATTAACACTGCACTAAAGTATTTTTTCATTTATCACAAGTCATATCATCATCGCAATATGATGCACTGTTCTTGCACATCACAGGATTTCCTAATATCAGACAGCCCTAGTGCACTTTTTTGCTTGTTTGCTTGTTTGACAGCTAAAGTCATTCTGTTTTCTTAACATGGTATTTAGTAAGATATGTTGACACAAATCATTATGCACAATATATGTACATATAGACATATAAATAATTTTTTAAAGATATACATACATTTGATTATTTTATATTCACTTATAGATTCTTTACAAGAGGTGTACATTGTATATACAGAAAGAATAATTATCTTCTCGCCTTGCTTTTTTCTCATCCAGATCCCAGAGATCCTAACTCCTAAAGAGAAACCTGGTGGTCCAAAGAACGACAGGTCACAGTCATCTATACCAGCAGCCTTTGCCGCAGGATCTAAATATAAAACAGATTCTCAGGAACAACATGCCAAAGAACAGGCGATTGCTCTTTGGATTGGATGAACAGGTCTACCTGCTTGCACAGTTGAGGATGAAGATTTCATCCTTATGATGGAGACCTTTGATAAGAGGCTCACCATACCGAAAAGAACAAAAATAAACAACTTGGTTGACAAGATTTATGATGGTGAAAAGCAAAAGTTCAAAGAGAGGCTTGCAACAGCACACAAAATAACAATTGGACTGGACATATGGACCAAAAAAGGCCTTACAGCATCATTTCTAGCAATTAGTGCATGCTTTTTTTGCACTGTTGAAAACAAAGCACAGCACATACTGTTGAGACTTGACCAGCTCCCTCACCCACACACTGCTGAGTGTATAAAAACCCATGTTGATCAATGTACAGAGGACTGGGGAATACCCCAACACAAAATTCTGACAGTCATAACTGATAATGAAAGCAACATGATTGCTGCGTTCAAAGCTAATGAGCCGGATGAACTCAGTAGCTCTGAGGATGAATCCATCGATGTGAGCGACACAGAAGACCCTGAAGTGATTGGACAAGACCAAAGGTAAATTGTTTTAATTTACTGTTAAGATTTTTAGTGTGTCATATGCTAGGTTATAATCAATTTTAGCAACTGTTTATGACAATTTTATTGAATTTCCTATATGATATTAAGAAAGTTTCTTTTTCTCTGTGTTTTGTCCTCTCTATCTAGGTTTGGAGCCATAGATAGGACCCCATGTGTTGTACACACACTGCAACTCGTTGTGAACATGATCCAGAAGGATGCAAGTATAAACCGACTGCTGGGCAAAGTTAGACTGCTTGTCAAGCTCTTTCGCAAGTCATCAGTGGCAACACAGCGTTTGCTCCAGGTATGTCAACTAACTGTGGTCAATGACTGCCCTACTAGATGGTCCAGCACATACCTGATGATATCACGACTTCTCCAAATCAAGGACTCAGTAGTTCAGGTTGCAGATGAGATGAGCTGGGACTATCTACTGCCAAGTGAGTGGCAGAAGTTCACTGCTCTTAGAGATTTACTTCTCCCCTTCGCTGAGCATACTCAGATGCTCCAGAGTGACACACAGTCTTTATCCCTTGTGTTGCCTGCCCTTCTGGACTTACACGGTCATCTATCTGAGTTCCCCAACGCTCAAGGTTCTACTTTCAAGGACCTAGCTTCCCTGGCAAATAAGATGAAGGCAAACATGGACAAACGGTTCAGCTGCTTTCTTGATCACACTGATTCTAAGTTTTCACCCCTCATTGCTGCTGCTTGCTACCTCGACCCGACAGTTGCACCTGAAGCACTCCTTGAAAATGATGATGAGCAAAGTGAGGCACTTCTGGGAAAAGCAGAAGAGTACATAGCTCAACTGGTGCCACCTGTTTTACAAGAAGATGAGGCTGAAGATGAGAAGTCAGGGAAGGAGGGAGAGGAAGAAACCAAAGAGGGAGTGGGACCACTGAGAAAGCGGCCCAGATTCAAGTTTTTGTCGAGTCGGCCATCCAGATCTGGCTTCTCAAAGCCGTGTGTCATGCAGGAAATGAAGAAATTCAAGGAGCAGCTGTCACAGCCTATAAACCAAGAGACTGCCCTTGAATTTTGGGCTGCACAGGGGGATTCTGTGTATCCGAGCCTAAAACCTATTGCCTTAGATCTTCTGGCCATGCCAGCATCTCAAGCATTTGCTGAGAGGGTCTTTAGCATTACAGGTGACCTCAGTCGTGGCCGTCGAAATAGAGCAAGAGTCATTTTAGAGCGAAGTGCTTTCCTTAAACTGAATCGAGGTTGTTAAACTTAATTTGCATACCCACCTCGTTACCAAGCTTATTAGTGCAGGTGAAGACATGTTAAAATAGTGTTCTGTTTGGACTTTTTGCAACACTGCACAAAGGGTAGAGCCCCTATCTATTCTAAACAATGTTGTGGTAAACATTTTTGTTGTTTATTTATTTCATACTTACTTTAAAGACCAGATACAGTGTGTATACAGTACTTAGTGTTCTGGGGTTGACTTATTCATTTTAGATTTCAAAACTTCCAGTGGCATATTTCATACTTTAAGAGAATAAGAAGAGATATATTTTATTATTTTGGTTTAGAATGTTTGCACAAGTTAAAGATAGTCAAGGTTTAGGACAGTCTGTTTTTATGTCTTCATTGTCCTGGTTGAAAAGTTTGAGTTTAACTTGTGTGTTCCCTTTTATTATAATATTGGGCATTTGTACTTCATTGCACTTTAGCACATTTTGAGAAATAAAGCCACAAAGTGAGAATGTTTTTGTTTTGGGCATTTTTGGAGTACCAGTATTTGATTCCACTATTAAAACAAATTACTCAAATTAATTTGTAAAGACTAATATGTTTTCTATTTATTTTAAAGACTAAAACTAGACTTAAAATTTTAAAGTTTTTGTCGACTAAAGCTGGACTAAAACCATTAAATATAGAAATGACTAAAACTGACTAAAACTAAGAAGTATTTTTGTCTAAAAGACTAAGACTAAAACTAAAATCAAAATGGCAGTCAAAAACAACCCTGCACCCAACAAAATACTGTATATTATGTCATCAGTTGAAAATATTAAAACTTGATGATTTGGTTGAATGTAGTATTTTACAAGTCATATATAAAGCTCATAAAAAATATTATCCCCAAATATTCAATTAAAATTTGTTAAAAAAGAGTCATTATAACCTTAAAGGAATGGAAATATTTGTAAAACCTCCATTTAGAACTAGTCTGAAGGAGCTGTGTTGTAATTCAGGGAGTAGGATTGTGGAATTGTCTTGA